AGTTTCCTGGTATCCTGCGCCCCCTCTGCCACTATACTGCCTTTTCCTTCTGTATGATACAGAAGGACGGGTAGGTCCGAGGGAAAGAAGCTAATAGTGGCCCCACTGGCCTGGGGACATTGGATATGGGAGATCCTGAGAAGAGAGAAAAGATCGAGATAACAGAATCAAAGATTATTAGTGACAGAAAAACTATATATTTGGTAAGGACTTTAAGCGTTCACTGTGTCTGATTTGACTCTTATTCCAGGCAGATGGAAGTATACTTCTTCACCCACTGCCTGTAACTGCAGTTGAGTGGGGTCATATTCTGGCCAATGGGTCACGGGCAATAGTGGTATGCATCACTTCCAAGCCAGATCATTTGGTTGCTGGTGCAAGGTCCTCCAGCTTTGGTCCTGCCCACCAAGGTCAACTCTGAAGTATCATGTTTAGATGGGGCACCATAAGATGGTATAAAGTGACTCACACTTTATGGAGCAGAACCCACAGTGACCCACAGTGGAGACGTAATGTGAACAATACGTATTGTTATTTTAAGCTACTGAGAGTTTGAGCATGTCTGTTACCACAGAATACAGTGGTTCAAACCCTGGCTTTCCTGCCACAGCCTCTTGAAAAAGTGTTTTTTTGGAGCCCAAGTAGCAAGTCAGTGACCATACAGATCTTTTGGAAAAGAACACTGGACTGAGAAACGAGAAGCCTGTGAAATGAGTTTGAGACCTGGCTCATCTAGCAGTTAATGATAGGACATTAGGTTATTTACAGCCTCCAAGTCCTCACTCTTCCCATCTATAAAATAAGAGTTGGTATACCCCCAAAATGTGGGACACACACCATTACTGGCACTTTAGATCCTTGGTTTTCAAGAGTGGCCCAAGAACCAGCAGCGCCAGCAGCACTGAGATTGTGTTGGAAATTCAAGTCCTTGGGTTTCACCCCAGACCTACTGAATCCAATTCTGTACTTGTAACAAGATCCCAAGAAAATGCCTATCCGTGTTAAAATTAGGAGAAATACTGACAGTGCTAGGACTCAGCACTAAATGACTTATAATCACACAGCGAGAGAGCCATCCTTTTCCACTTGTCTTTCAATGTTTCTGATTACTTCATGGAGAAAGTCTCAGGTTGAGGCCAATGTGTCTTTAACACCTCTTTAACAGTTGCTAATGTTCTTTTTTAACAAAGAGAAAGCAAGCCTCAAGTTCCTGGACAGACAATAGTATTTAGCTTGACTATAATAGCATTGTTTCATTTTCATTGTGTTTATTTAAGTGATTATCTCATATTTATGGCAATCTGATGCCAGTTTTCTATTTAAAGTAGTGATAGACACCTCTTTAAAATAAATTAAGTGGAAAAGTGAACATATTTAAAGAAAATGCATAATAAATGGGAAGAAGTATTTGTTAATGTTTCCTTCCATGTTAGGGAACTCCGTTGGTTTGACACTCCTGACTTCTTTCCACAGCTTCATCATTAAGGAACTTTATTCCCACTGCTCGGGGTTGGGGTGAGGAGAGTGCTGTACCTCAATGTGAATTTGGGAGGAATGAAATGAACATGCTCAGGTCAGCATCCCCCTTCTTCCTCTTGGAATTTAGATACCCAGAGGATAATTACTCATAGATAATTGGCTTATAAAATTCCAGTCCAATTGGTAGAATCCTAGCATTGGGTTGTTTATTTAATATATCTTTATTGTGGGCCTATGAATGCTGGGTTCTGGTTCTGTGTCCTTTCCTCTCCTTTTGTTGCCCAGAAGCCACCTTTCCCTCTGGAAGGATCTTGACCAGCTTCTGGCCAGGTTGTTGCAGTGTTTCTGGTTTCTCAGTTTCTGACTCTGTTTAGAGGAAAAAAGTCAGGGCACTGATGAGCCTGGGATCCTTCTAGAAGAAAGCATCGGTATCCATCATCATGAATCATGAGATAAAAACAGCTAATTGTCATTAATGTGTGTAGCCAATCTCCTTGTGGCCTAACTATCATCCATGTGGGTCAGTTATGGAGGATTTTAGTGATTACCCTGCTAATGATGTAGACTTTTGGCAAAAGGCCTTAGGTAAGAGGTCACTGCTCCTTCCTTGGAAAGTAGTAACTTTTGGGCCCCTGGCATTTGCTTCTGTCAGTTCTGCACCACTTAACCAAACTGATGCCCTTTGCTCCTTGTTATATCACTCTATTTTGTTTTCATCATGGTACTTATCTCTACTTCTTTGTTTACCTGATTAGGGTCTGACTCAATCCACTAGACTGTAAGCTCAAGGGAGAGCAGGAACCATTCCTGTGTGGTTCGTGGCTGTATCTCAAGTGTCTAGAACATGTTGAATAAGTGAATCAACATTTCTATATTCCAATTGTTGGAAAAAGAAAACTAGGACGTATATTTTCAAGATCTAATTGGCAGTCACTCTGTAGTATCATTGCTTAACCCTGGAACTGAGATATGCATCAACTGTTCCCGCTGTGTGTGGCTCTAAATGCTCTATTACATTTTTATCTACTGCATTTCTATTCATTGGTTCATTAATGCTCTGTCTACAGCTGGAAAGTGTCTGCAGTAGCTCATAAAGGCAACAGTCAACAGGCAAAAGATAAGAGCTTGTAAGTAAAGGAGTAGGACCCAAGGGAAACCTTATCAAGAAATCCTGTTAAAGTGCAACTTTCTATTGCAATCTATGCAAGATCTGTCCCCCAAGCTCCTTTCTCTCCTGTTCTGGGAAAGGTGACTTGGGCATTGAAAACTAGCTTGAAAAAGTTATTCAGAGTCCCAGAGTAATTTCTGGTGAAACTGTCCAAAATTTTCTGAAACTTACACTCATCCAAGTAACTGCTCATAAAAACCATTTCTGAGGGAAAATTAAATTATTTCATGCTTATTCTTTCATTTCTCATGTTTCCTCACAACACAGAGTATGTAGGAGTCAGAGGTAGCATTTCACCTGTCCTGGACATTTTTTTTTAATTGTATGTATCTGGATTTTTGGTGTCCTTAAATATAAAGAGGTCTGATTGACACTTGAGGAATATTAAAAGGAAGAAAACCAGGAAAGTGGACTAGAGTCTGCTTAGAGGTAGGGGAATTCCTCAGTGGCTCCTGATTTGCGTGAAGATTTTATTGAGTTTATTGGCAGTGGATTAGAGATGCATATCATTATTTGAGGTGTTGATGACTAACTAGAAATTACTCCTAGCTGCTGAATATTTTTTCTTTGAAATCAAACCCATTTTGAATTGCCAACCCAAATCAGTTTTACCTAGGAAAGGCAAAAAAGTCTAAACCTGTTGTCCAGAAATACAGCCACAAACTTATGTCAGATATAAAATACTCATAGCCACTGTGATTGTGTCTGGTGTTGTTCTAAAAATGAAAAGCCAGGGGGAAAAAAAAGAGATTTAATACAGAAATCCATCACAGAAGACAGTGAAAATGTAAAAACACAGCACTCAGAACACCACATCCCTTGAATTATATGCATGCACATAGACTTAAGGAAAAACACTGACATTTTAGGAGCTGCTCATTCTGTGACAAATCACATCTTCCTATCCCTTCATGTCCATAATGCATCCGGTCTAGAATAAATTCAGGGTTTCCTTTAGTCTATTATGTTAATAGCTTGCATTTATTTACTCTTCACCTTTCATGCTATAGCTTCTCATACATTATCCCACTTGAACATTAAAACTAGCTCATTGAGAAGGCAGACATTCTATTCCTGTTGTAAAGATAAGGCTCTGAGAGCTTGAATGACTTGCCAAAGATCACACAATAAGTAACCAGCAGAGCTTGCATTAAGACTCCAAATTTCTGAGTCTTTAACTCTACGCCTTTGCTGAAACGTTTCACAGCTTGTTGGGGATCCCAGGAGGTCTGATGTACCCTGCAGGACTCTCATAAGCTTGAATTACGGGGACGTCTCAAGACTTCAGACCTGGATGTTGGTCCAATGCAGTAATGAGCTTAAGCCAGGTGGTCTTTCCCAGACTGTCCTGGCATTGATTAGTCATTTTTCTGGGGAGAACCCAGGCCCTCTGAGCTAGAATCCACAACCTAAAGGTAGATTTGAACTGCTCCATTCTAGGGGAGGGGTGAGGTGTCAAACAGCCAGTATTCTCCTCAAGCACAAGCCCAACGAGTTTGTTTCCAAGGACAGGGAGTTATATCTCATTAGCTCCCATGTATTTTAAGGGCTTGGACCAAACATATAAGAATTCATGTAGGTACTTTCCATCTACATCAATCTATTCAACGCATGATCAATAATTCATTCTCTGATGAGGCCAAACATGCCTGGGTTTGTACCATCTAGTCCTTATACTTTTGAGACATAACATAGCTCTGGGATACTCATCTTAACAGAACCAATGAAAAAATATAAGCCTTGTGTATCTCTTGTCCCCACTCAGATGTTACCTGTCTAACCTGACCTCACAGATGCCTCCTTCCAAGTTTCCAAAGATACCTTCATTCTACTGACACAAATCACAATCTCATTGTTTTCTGAAATTTATTTTAACAGAGACAGAGGAACAACTCTCATTGATTGAGTTCTAAATATTTGTCCAGCACAGAGTTAGGCAATTTTAAGAATATTATCATTTCTAATCCTCACAACAGTTCTGTGAGGGAGTCATTTCACAGATGAGAGAAGAAAGGCTAGGAGAAGTTAGATACCCTTAAGGTCACACAGAGTGGAATTCCTCGTCAGTCTTCAAATTTCAAATCCTGGTTCTTTCTACTCATAAGATGTGGAGAATTCAAAGGCAAACTTGACCTATTTGAGCTTTGGAGAAGGAAGAAGGTCTTGTTTGTTTTTAGGAGGGGAGGAGAAATCAGTCTCTCCCATCCTTTCTTTTCAGTAATGCTGAGGGAGGTGGAAGAAATTTAAGAGCAGCAAGGGCTTGGTGGAGGAGAGAGGAAGATTTCAGGGGGCAATAAGCAGGTCTGGGTAGCCAGCTTCAAACAGTGCCAAGCCCAGTAGAAGTAGAGCTTCTGGCAGAGGCTGTGGGTTCTGCAGAGTTCTGCCTGGTCCCTTCCCAGGACAGAGAACTGCCCCCATCTCTTGCTCCTCAGTCTCAGCCTGAGATACTGGAAGCGGCACCTGGAGGCTCAGTAGGGCAGGGAGTTGACAGTGGCAGATAGAGAGAGGTGTGTGTGTGTGTGTGTGTGTGTGTGTGTGTGTGTGTGTGTGTGTGTGTGTGTTGGGGGTGAGGGGTGGGGGCGTCTGGTGAGAGGCTTAAGCTAGATAATGTAAGGGGTTGGGCAGCTCACGTGATTCCAGGAAGGCGGAGACAGGCTAGCTGGAGGGACGACTGACAGGCCGCTAGGAGGGGTGCAGGATAGGGGGGGCAATCTGAATAATTGAGGAGCTGTTCGGCAGCAGCGGCTGCCTCCTGCCTTCCTTTACCACCACCACTCCGCATCATAGTGGGAGAGACAGAGCCTGGCGCTGTAAGTGCGGACCGGCCACCAGTCCCAGCAGCCAGTTCATCACCTTCAGCCCTCTGGTGAGTGAACGTCCCCTTCGCCGCAGTCTGTCCCCCTCTGTGTTCCCTGCATCCGAGCTGGGACCCTCAGGAATAGGATGATCGCCTCTCGCTCGTTGAATGAACCTAGGAGCCGGAGCGACCCGGAGAGGGAAAGCAGGAACATGGCGCAGAGGCTGAGGGCGCCCTCCGGGAAGGGGTCCCCTGGAAGAAGGAAGAAGCTAGGTCAGGGTCTCTAAGACTCTGGCCTAGAATGGGGCCTGACAGCATCCAGGGTTGGGGCACGCCGGGGCTGCCAGGCGGGGCTGGGGCAAATACATTTCAGGCGCGGCGGGAGCAAGAGGCGGAGGAGGGAGCTGCGAGCAGCGTCCGGGCTGCTCGGGTCTCCACAGACGCCGGGCCCGTCCTTTCCCCGCCGCTTTAGCACACACCCGGCTCGCGCAGCTTGGTTCTCGGCCTCGGAGGGAGCCCACTGAAAGGACGAGAGGCTTTTCCGGCCGAAGCCCGAGGGGAGGGTGGGGACAACGTCTGTCTGTTTACCTGAGAGCAAACTCTTCAAACGGACTGTAGCTGAGCCCAGTGACCTGCCAGGCCGGTGTGCTCCGAGGGACACCTGTCCCCGGAGAGCAGTGACATGCCAGGGGCGACGAGGGGGACGTGATGGGTGAAGTGTCCAGGGAAGCTCCCTGGCCAGAGGGGGCAGCCCTGGGGAGAGGATTATCGACTGCACTTCCACCTAGTCAGAGTCTCCTCTCTTCCCCCATTCCAAAGCATATCAGTGTCCTAGGAATCCAGAGGGCCGGAGTAAGGTAGGGTGGCCTCGCTGGACGCAGCCCCAAACCTTCTTCTCGCTCTTGAATCACCTCCCCCCGCCCCGCCATTATTTTGTATTGTGATTGAAAAGTAAGATAGAAGTCGCCAAACGACTAGAAGCGAAGTGAAGGCAGAGGAAATTTATGGGAAGGCTGGACCTGCAGAGCTCTCGCCTGCTCCTGGCATTCCTCACCCAACTACCTGGGTCAAGCTTGGTTCATTGTCTTGAACCGAGAGGTGCAAAGGCATTGTCTCTTGAGGGGGATTCTCGCCGAAGTGATGGGGTCAGTCACTAGCTGGAGTTGACCAAGAAACACAGAATGATAAACTGCCTCCCCAGCCTTCTTCCCCTCCGCTCAATAAGGGGTCCAGGAGAATGCCAGGGGCAGAATAGCATGTCTGGAGTCTGGGCCGCAGAGAAGACAGCGGGGCTGAGCGCTGTCCGCGGTGCTGAAAGTTCTCTGAGGCGGGAGCTTATACTGCTGGGGGACTGGTGGCTCATTGCTGCCAATATTTCTCCAAAGCAGAAACTGCGTTAGAGCGACCTAGAGAAACGGGTAAAGGTGCTGTACACTCCCTGGTTCTTTGCCTTCTCCCGGACTTCTCTTGAAAGGAGGTTTTCCACACTCCTGGGTAGAGGAACAAGAGCCGGTATCATTCTAGGATCCAGCTCTGCTAACTTCAAATGGGGATGAATGTGGTGCCTCGTTCTGTTTCACTGCCTACGTGATGAATCTTCCTGTGGGTAAAGTGTTGGAAATGCAGTTAGAGTTACTGTTCTGATAAACACTTCTGTGGCTTTCAGGAACCAGAGAACTGTGAGGCTGCACAAAGGCAGAGGCTTCATTAACAGAGAGACTGGGTTTCATATTCCTGGCTAAGATTTTTTTTCTCTCTTCAGCACCCTTCTTTCCCCACTGCTCATTATTTACATCCTCTAGCTATAGATCTCTAAGCAGTCCTGTGTGTTTCTGACTAGTCTTTTACATTATAGGTTAGATGAGGAACAATTTTGTGTTCAAATAAGCCAATTTTGGGAGACCAAGTTAAGAGAATATTTACTTTAACCTACCATCTGCTGGGTCATATTATCTCATTTAAGCTTCACAATAGCTGCTAACCATAAGTATCACAAAGTAAAGAAAACTGCAGCTATGTTTTCAAATCCAGCACTTGGATTCAAATTCAGGTCTGCTTAACTCTGAAGTCCAAGCTATTTTCATGCCCTTATTTTGGCACTTGGCTTTGGATAGCTGTTAGTGGTGAATACAGCAAGAGTCTGTCTAAGTTAGAAGGCCTGCTTTTTCACACACACACACTACTCTCTCTTCCAACCCTTTCCTCTTTAATCTGTTCACCCACCCACTGTCACTCACTCCCACCACACCAACTGCTTTTGTGCATGCTGCTTGAGACACCACTGTTCACACAACTTGAGCTTCAGGATAACAGAAACATGTTAGAGGACTAAAACAGCAGGCTTTCCTGAAAAAGCAGCAGGGCTTCAGGGAATCTGGACGACTAGAACCCACTTGTGCTTTCATATTTAGAATTACACCCTTGAGTGAGTAACCTTAAAGACCACTAAGCAACATTGTTTTATAAAAAGAAATCGGGAACTAAAAGACAGTTATTAGTCTGTCATATGACTGAAGAGTTAGGATTGGAATCCAGTTGACTTGACTCCAAAGCCAGTGTTCTTTCCACTACCCCCATGGTGCCTCCAGTATTCTTCCATGATGTCTTCTTTGATTATCTTTGACAAGAATATCAGCATGAGTGAACTATATTCAGTAATTATAAACATTTAAAATACAAGCAGTCCTCTTACCTACTTTTTGCTTCTGTTCTTCCCCCTCTGGCCTCAGTATTCCAGTGTCATTTGACCCAGCATAACTGAGATTACTGACCCACCTTCCTCAGTAACTGTTCTCCCTATGGCAGCAATTTGCAGATGTGGATGGTGCTATGGCATTTCTCTGCGTGCCTTTATGTTGTCTATATTTCTACCTATATGATCTATTTTCAACAAATAACTTTTTCCAAACTCAGTTACCCCAAGCACCTTCCTATGTACTCACAGGTATTTGGAAGAGGCCTCAAAAAGATCTTGGCAGAAATAATCATAATAAGGCCTAATATCTATCAAGTGCTAGACACTATGCTAAGTTCTTTCATGAATCATTTCATTGAATTTTCACAATTAGGTCAATTAAATAATTTCATTATGAATGGTCCTAGAGTTCTAGTCCACTCTAACATACAACAGACCTGATGCTCTGTTCATGTCTCCTCGCTTCTCCTTCAGCCCATTATAAAAATCTCACCTTCATTAATTGGATTTTTATAGCCCTAGTAATCTCATTGGCAAGGATGAAATTTTTATATCAAATTGTATAGTTCTATCCTGCTCCAACATATAGAATTTAGAAATTCAAATTCAATTCAAATGGCACTATTCTGCTCTTTTATCTCTTAATATTTATCACAACATATTCCTATCATTTGTTATCCTTTACTTAAAGATCCCTTTATGCCTTCTTAGTGCTAATAAGGACATTCTCCTTCAAACTTCTTCTAGAACCAATTAAGGCATAACTCGTAATTAAATACATAACTTCTATTGCACCCTCACTGAGTGATCCTGCAAAGATACTGTTCCTGGGGTGCTGGCCTGAGAACCATAATCTTAAACTTTCTGGAACCACTCTGTCCAATATGGTAGTCACTAGCCACATGAAGTTATTTAAATTTTAATAAGATAAAAATTTAAACATTAAAAATTCAGCTTTTAATCACACAAGCCATATTTCAAGTGCTCAATGAAATCATATGTGGCTAATGACTGCCTTATTGGACAGTACAGATATAGAAAACTTCAAATATTACATAAAGTTCCATTGCACAATGCTGCTTTGGAAAATCCTAAAAACACTCTCACAGCAACTGAGAATGTGAAATTGGGAATAAGGATTTGGGACTTTGCTTTAAAACTTCTACCAAGAAAGCAGAAAAAGCCATTTGTGCCTAGGACATCCCCAAAAGCCCAAATATGCTCAAGCAATAAGGCTAGCAAAGAGAGCACAGGTCTCACTGAAGGAGCCGGTGACCTCTGGAGTTTGCTTCATATGGATTCCATTTTACCATAAAATAAAGTAAAATGTTCCATCCATTTTACTGTCTTGCTGGTTTCCTAAATTCCAGCTTAGAAATAACCTAAAGGTTCTTATTTGGAATTCAAGTATATATATATTAAATATATATAATGTAAACTATATATAATAATATAATAGGTAGGTAGGTAGATAGATAGACAGACAGACAGATAGATGAATCAATCTTAAAATCTTAACAAAGGAATGGATGGCAATGTGTAAGATACTCTGCCAGAGAAATAGCTGAGATGTACTCTCAGCCTAATGCTGGTCAAGCATACCATTTTCAGGCAATTCTTGCATATGGAATAACATTACTAAAAGGGAACATAGGGAGATTGTCAACCCTGGCCTCTAGCAGATCATTCTGGCTTTAATGGTAAACATCTTTTGTTGGGAATCATGGTTTATTCATTTCATGGGAGTTGTTTATCTCTTGGAAGGGTCTGGATTTTGGAAGGGAGAAAGTATATTATTTCTGAGTTGAAAAAAGTTTAATTTTCACTATTTTTAGCTTGAGGGATTTAACCAATTTTATGTTCAAGGAAATAAGCAAAACTGACAATGTAGCTTTGAAATTCATGCTGGGACCATACAAACATCTGCTTAATCAATCAAGTAATTGAGGAGTGTCCTATATTAGCACAGAAATGCTGCGGTCACAGGTGTTTGAAACTCCTACAGACTGGCACATGGTACTCAATAAATATTTGTTGAATTCAGACCATTGTTCCAGGTCAGTTCATGCCATACACTCACCTACCCAAAAAATGAGTATTCCCTGTGGCATTTTTCTTTAGTAAATAAACAGGAGACAAATATAGAACATCAAATCTTACCCTGACAACCACACTCCTAGCCCCTCTGGGTAGGAGTGATGGCCAAGACATAGGTAGTGATGGCCAAGACAGACTGCTACTGAGGATTGTGTCTTGCTGTCCTCCTCCAGAGAACAAGGGACAGATCAGCCCAAGAGTCTTGCATTTCACTATGATGAGGCAACTTCATAAACTTAATACTTAAATGGAGTTGTATGTTATTTTTCACTTTACC